TGTTAAAAATCAATTATAACGTGTAATGTATAAATTATTACTACGTGCTTGTTAGCCCTAATCGGCACCCTAACCATCATCATATACAAAACATAAAATATTCGGAAAAAAAAGTTGGAATATATATATATATATATATATATAAAAACTTATATAGTGTTAAGTTTCTTATGAAGAAAGGGATGAATAAAGGGACATGTTCTCTGCAGCAAGAGGTTCGCTTAGATAAAAGAATCGATACAATCCACCTATAGATATATCATATATATATATATATATATAGAGAGAGAGAGAGAGAGAGAGAGAGAGAGAGAGAGAGAGAGAGATTTTATTGTTGTTTGTTTGTTTTTATTTTTTTTATTTTATGTTTTTTACAATTCATGGCAGCATTATCACCTTATCTTATCTCCCCCACCACCTATGGGTTTTTTTATTCTATCTTCACTGCAACACTCTCATTATTTAATCACCAAATATGTATATTTTATAATATATTAATATATATATATATATATTTGATTATAATTAATTAATTTATTTATTAAAGAAGAAGATGAAAGAGGTTGTCGCTTTTCCACAGCCAGCCTTTAATTTTTGTCATCGGAAAATGAATTGAAGGCACCAATTATATTAATATACGAATCACTATGAGGTCCGTCCAAAATATCAAAATTAAATTTTTATTTTTTTATTTTTTATATTATACTAAAAAAATTAATTTTACAATTCAAAATATTCAAAATACCTGTTTATATTTCATCATATACTTCATTCGTCTTATAATTAGATATTCATTTATTTTTTTGCATGTAGTTTTAATTTAGAAATATTAGTATTATATTGTGATGTATAAAGAATAAAATAGAAATGACTAAAATAACCTTATTAGTATATGTGATTAAAGGTAATGAGATTTGTGTAATATATTGTAAATTATAAAGGTATTTGTAATATTAGATAGATAGTACCGTTACTAAAAAAGAAAATTGATACTTTGTTATAGGACGTACTAAAATAAAAAAATTGATACTTTGTTATGGGACGGAGGGAGTATAACTATTCAAATTTAAAACTTTTACTATTGAAATCACAAAATACAAATCAAAATTTAAATCCCCAAACAAACACATATTTAATAATAATTATTCTCCTCATCCCATTTGTTTCACATAACTTGTCATTTTTTTTAGAAATATAATTATACGCTTTAATCACATCTTAAAATTTATACTTTATAATTTTTTTTATTTTAATTAAACTATTTAGTCATTTTAATCTTAATTTCTAAATGAGACAATTTAACTGGGACGAACGAAGTACTTAGATAGGTAGATAGATACATACATGTGTTCTGCTTGTGCTTTAATTTTTTTAAAAACAATATAGGTTATGTTTGTCTAGTATTTTACTTTAAAGTATTTTTTCATATTTGATATAAAGAATCGTATTGATAATATGAAAAGACGGTTAATCCGACCAAGTCAGCATGTGTCATATTAGTGACCAATATATATTTATACATATTTTAACATATATTATATTATAAGATAGTCTATGGTGAGTTATAATATACTCCCTCCGTCCCAGATACCATGTCCACGTTGCCGTTTCTGTCCGTCCCACGTACCATGTCACTTTCTTTTTTTGGAAAATGATTACACACTTTAATCTCATTTTAAATTTTTTAATTTTAATTAAACTAATTAGTTATCTTAATCTTAATTTATAATTATTTATATTATAGGATAAGTATTTTCATTAATACATTCTTAATTATCTACTAATTACACTCCTCCTAAAACACCGTGTCTACGGTGTAGCAGGCACAGTATCTGGGACGGAGGGAGTAGAATACTTTGTTTTATAAATATACTGAAATATATATAAATAAATGTTGGTCATCTCTATAGTATATATTGATTCAGTAAAATCAACACCGGAACAACAGCTGATCCATATAAAAATATTATCCCCATCGTCCAATTTATGCTCAATTCTTTTGTAAAATACAACATTTAATTTGACGACAAATTAAATAAAATTTTTTATTGAATATTGATTTATTTATAAATATATATATATATATATTTATTGAAAATCATATTAAGTAAACAATTTATTGGAAGCAAAAGCACAATTTTCTTGGAACCCATGAAAATGTGTGTGTGATAGAACTTACTCAATCGGGTGTGCTGTGAATTTAAATTTCTTGCTCGATAAATAAGGGAAACCTCCTGTACAGAGAAATTTTAATTAATTAATTTGACATGTAATAAATATTATATTTAATAAAAAAAATTATTTTAATATTTTAAATCAAAATCAATACTATTTATCATGTATAATTTTCAACTAAAATATACAATTTCATTTCACATAGTATTATATCAAAATATTATTTTTTTAAAAAAAAAAATTTCAATCAATATTTTATTTCAAATTAAGAAAAAACAAAAAAAACACTCATCTATTTTTTCAAGGTTGAATTTGAATTTAGCATATGAGAATAGCACAAAGTTGTGTTAAATTTAATTGATATAAATAAATGTTTGATATAAAATATTGAATGAAAATTCATTTTATAATAATGAAATAAAAAATAAATATTGAATTTAATTATTTTAAAAAATATTAACCCATCAAAACCTTAAAGAAACAGAGCCTAAATTACATTTAAAAATCCTAACCTTGGATATGTTTCATATCTCCGATTCTCAACCCTTATCATTTTAGTCTCGAAAGTGGAGTATGTCGTAAACTTGTCCTATAAGTGAAAAAATTTTGTTGTTTTAATCCTCCAGCGCCGGAGACGCCCGCGTAACTCGCCGGAGGCTACATGTCCACCGGGTGTCTCGCCAGGTCAGTGACACCTGACGGACACGTGGATTTTATTTTATTTTTAAATTTTTTTAATTTTTTTTTTCAAATTGTACCAAATAAAAAATTTTAGAAAAAACAAATAAAATTAAAAATAATTTTTTTAAAAAAATAAAAAATAAAATAAAATCCACGTGTCCGCCAGATGTGGCCTCCAGCGAGCCATGCGGGCGTCTTCAACGCCGGAAGACTAAAACAGCGAAAATTTTTCACTCATGAGACTAGTTTGCGACAAACTACACTTACGGAACTAAAATGACAGGGTCCACCTACGGGACTAAAAAACAGTTTACCCTAATAATAATAATAATAATAATAATAATAATAATACCAAATTTAATAGAATTATTGAAGTTCTCTTCACATGGGCCATGGAGTGATTAAATGGGCTAACCCATTATTAATTGAGCCGTAGCCATTTTCAATTTTTATTGGGCTATGGATTGTCTGATTTGAATTTGAATTTGAAATTAAATAAATGACCTTTTTTATATTTTTAGTAAATTTAGTTATTTTAAATATATTTAAAAAATTTAAATCAATTTAATTAAATTTTCTAAATTTAAAATTTTTTATTTTTTATAAAACTAATTTTAAATTAATTATAAATATATATATTTTTATATTATATAAAATTTTATTATTAATAAGTATAATTCATATTATATATATTGTATTAAAATATAATACTAAAAATTTAAACCCATTATAAATTTTTTTTAGTAATATATATTAATTAATATTTTTAAAACACAAACAACTCAGTATAAAAAATAATAAAATTATATCATAATTTAACTATAAAGTATGATTGTCATATAGAGATGGCAATGGACAATTTTCGTGGACGAGGTCCACCTTTTTAAGAGAAAATAGGCCCAATAATACTACATGTCCTATTTTTGTTTTATTTATTGGATATATTTTTATAAATTTGCTTTTGATAGATAAAAATTTAAAAATTATGTTTAAATTTAAAAAATATATAGATATTCCAAATTAAAAATAATAATAAACTAAATTAATTTAAATAATAAATAGTATATTTTTATTAATTGTATATATCTTTCTAAATTTATACAAAATAAAATTACACAATTTGTTTTAGCTTGGATAAATCCAAAACCTAAAATCTGAAATTTAATTTTAGAAAATCTGCAAACTTGGAATAAAAGCTACACTTAAAAATAAAAAATAAAAAATAAAAATTCATTATTATTATTATTATTATTATTTTCTTTACAATATACTCTCATTAGCTGTAAAAATAAATTTTTGTTCTTTCAACAAAAATTTTCAACAAATTTCACCAAAAAAAACTTAATATTTCCTCCGTCCCAAAACTATGATCTTAATATTAGATAATTCTATGGTGATATAAATATTTACGAAAATAAGACTATTGTTTTGGGACAAATAAAAATGATAAACAAGATTATTTTATTATACACCCTCTTTATTTTTATATTACCTCTACAATTCTTCGTTCGCTCACATAAAATATATCGAAACACCCATGTATTTCATTGAACAAAACTTCATATTCAAATTCAGATGCAAGCTTCCTCCTCTAAACCTACTTTTTCAGTACAGAATAACTACCAGTGTCGGATGAACTCATGACCATAACTAACAATGTAAAGTTTTACACTTAAATTTTCGACTCTAGGCCAACCATGTGTAACTTAATTTGCCAGCCTAATTTACAGACTATTACTATTAAGTTCGACCGAGTTCCAAAAAAAAATAAAATAATAATAATAATAAAAAGACACTCACACAACAAGATCAAGATGAGCAAAATAAGAGGAAATGGAGGCTTTCTTATCAATGAAACTATGAAAGAACATATACATAAAATGCATATATACCCACATTTATATACATAAATATATATATATACATCTGTATGTATATCCCAAGTTCAGAGAAGCCTGAAGATTAAAAAGGAAAACAATACAAAAAGAAAGCTTCAAATTCACACACTCAGCTTACCTAAATCTAAAGATCCTAAAGTCATACTCTCAAAAAAAAAAAAAAAAGGCGACGACGACAGCAACTCTACAAAATAGCTTAATCATCTACCGCGCCGCAAAAGATATTCGACATTTGCGCGCTAGATACAACAACAAAACTCCATGCCATTCACATAACAGATCAATCAAAAACGAGATCACAAAACACAAATGCATCAAATCCCGAATTGTTAAAATTTTCTCACACATTTATAGCTAAAGATGCCAAGAAACTACACAAGTTCACGATCATCTTTATAGTATAGCACAGGGAGTACGATTTTTCGGATCATCCGATCACATAAAAACCTCCATGCCTATATACTTCGACAGCCCGCAAACGGGACAAAGACTCAACCTACTTTCGCAAACTTTGCAAAGGCACAAATGCTTGCAGGGTAATAAAAGCATGCAGACTTTACTCGATCGACATACCTTGCAGGACATCGCCTCCTTCGTATCCTTACGGGGAAGAACGGCGGCGGGGCGGCCGTTGAAGCAGGAGGCGGTATCGTCGACCTCGCTGTCTCCGCACCCTTCTTTGCCGTCTCTGCTCTGCGCATAAACCTGCTGCAGATTGTGCCTCAGTGCGTTCGCCATGTTCTCGCCGTGTTTCGCACGGCTTTCCCAGTTAGCGGCTTCCACAATTAGACGTTCGACCTGCACCTCGAGCTGTTTGTTCTTCTTGTTGATGTCATCCACCTCTGCTTCTTTCTCCTGAAGCTTCTGCAGGACCTTCCCTTCGACGTACGAGAATGTGTGGAGTTGGGTTTCTTGCAACTTCTTCAGAATGGCTTCGCGCAGTTGATCACCCTATCATCGATTAAACAAGATGAATTATTTTTAATGAAATGCACATTCTCGAATGAAATTAATATTGACAAACTTCAAGAATCGCAATTGAGATAATGTTGAAGGTAGTCAAAAACAATGCAAGAGCTCAATCAAGCACAATTTAAGCGTAAATACATGCACATATATACACAATTATGACATACTTTCGAAAACAAATACAATAAAATGTATCAAAGGGCACAAATACGCGTATTTCGAAACATATAATTCCTAATCATCAATGTCTAAAATAGGAAGCGGCGACAAGGAAAGAAGATATGAACAAATTACGTAGATGAAACAAAAAGACTGCCGTATTCCATTTCAAACGAATCCCAATAAATAAGTTTAATAAATATGGATAAAAACTGCAGACAATGGCGCACGAAGGCTGTGCCTTGCCCAATGGAGCCGCCATTTATAATATTCCCCAATCCAACTATCAAAGTTATTTACATCAATGTCAGAGGAACACGTGTAAACGTCGAAGATTTGGCCAAGATCAAAATCATTGAAGCACCCGAGCAGCCAATCAAACTATAACAAGAATCATTCGATTCTACAGTTTCCATTTTCAGCTTATTAAACTTGCAGATGAAAATTTGAATTCAAAGCATCACCATATGAATCTAAGAACACAGCCTTCAAATAATCATGTTTCTTTCGAGTTTTTATCGAGTTTTTTACCATTCGAACTTCATGTTCCTCGAAGAATTTCTCACAAAAAAAATCACATCAAACTCTATTCAAATCCAAAATCACCTCGAATCCCAATCTAGACTAAAAAGAAACCTCCAAGCCCTAAGATATCCACCATTTCTGCCATTAACAAAGCTCGAAAAGGCCATCTAAATAATTGCCACAGAACTCATACTCAATAATCTTCCATCGATCACAAAAATTTAAACAAATACTCGCAGCAATTTTCAGTAATTTAGACAAATTCAAGGCAAGGAAAGCACAATTGCAATCAAGAGTCAACAAATCCTGACCTGAACTTTCAAAAATCTGTCAATTTCAGCATCCTGTCGTTGTAACTCTAAATCAAGAGCATCGCCTATAACCCCAAGCAAGGAAGAATTACCCGAGTAACTGAATGGCGGATTCTCCAACGAAAGCCCTAAACCAGTAGACACTACTGATCGAGCCTGCAACAAATCCAGGGACGTTCTTTGAGAGTTAGTGTTGCTATTATCAATTCCAAACTTATTCTCCAGAAACGGCTGCTCTATCGGTCGCTTTTCCTTCGAATCGAGTTCGGAATTCCACTGTACGTCCAGCCTGTTGCTTTCTTCGTTAACCGCCCCGGGCGCCAAACCTGCAACTTGAACTGAAACACAGAAAACAAATTACTAAAAATGACTAACTCCAAGAACAAAAAAATTGAAAACAAACGTGGAAATTACAAGGAGAGATGTAACCACGATGTTGATCGAGAAGATTGGGGGTGTTCAAGTAGGGCACTGGCTGCGAAATTTGACCATCCATGTTGTTGTCGTACAAATCCCTAAAACAAAAAAGAGTTAGAGATAGAAATCGAAGCCAATTTCGAGTGGAATCTCAATGGTAACACCAAAAATCCGAAATGAAGATTGTATATGTTTATATCGAATTAATCGTCTTCTCCATGTGTTTGAGCGAGAAAACTGTATGAGTTTGAGTGGGAATACCTGAGAGATGACTGGCGAGGCTGTGAGAGCGGCGGCTGCTGGAGAAATTGGCGATAGTGATTTTCCTGAGGAAAAGAAGCCATGGCCGATGGGAGTAGGGAGAAGAAATGAATGGGAACACTTTTGAAGACAGTAATCGCTGGGGAAAAAGATTCCTCGCGTATTTGCTAAATAGTCCTTTTAGTTTTTGAAAATTCGTGAAGTTTCCAATGCTCTCTGCTCTTTAATTTTATTTTTTTTTTATAGTTATTTATTGATTTTATGTTTGTTTAGTGAAATATTGTGAAAAGATATTTTTTTTATGTGAAAGATGTAAAATTGTATAAATAATATAAAAGAAATAGTATATAATATATTAATTTATCTTAAAAATATATTTTTAATTTTTTTTGGATGACGGAGGAATCTGTCGCCGCTATCCGAAAATGCTGGATAAACTCTAGCCGAACCTAATACCCTGCAAACCAGACCGATATATTTTTTGAAAATAGTGAAAGAGCATGCCAATGTTTACACAATAATTTTTTGTAGTGTTTTTTCTTAAGACCATCTCTAACCGAGTAAGTTTTTCTCTATTTTGCAGGGTAGAAAAAAACTGCTCCAACCGACCTTGCAATTTTGCAGAATTCACCCGCTGCTTCAGCTGAATACTGAATACTGTAGCACCCGGCACCCGCTGATTCCAACGGGTGCATTTTATTTTTTTAATACAATTATCTATTTATTTATAAAGTTATCTATTTATTTATATAGTTATCATACCTTTTTTTTAATATTATCCATTTATTTATGTAGTTATCTAATCTTTTCTATATTTATTTAATTTTAAATTTTTTAAATATCATCATCAAAATAAAAAATTGCATTAATTTTTTTATTTTGGTTATATTTTTATATTTTATTTTTTTATTTTGTTTTAAGCTTTTATTTTATTTTATTTATTTTTGTTACTTTTAATTTTATTATTTTTTATTATAATTTTGTAATTAATATTTATAGTAAATTATTTATATATTTAATATTTATTAAAATTTATAATTAATTGATTATGGTAAAATAATTATAAATTATTTATATTAAAAATTATGTAAAATAAAATATAAAGAAAATATTTTTTAACCTACAAAAATGGAGAGTATAGTTGGAGAAAAGACTGAAATGGTTTACTGTAGCATACCCTGCACAAAAATGGAGAAATGCATTGTAGATATGCAAAAATGAAATTATGGATTGAAAATGGTCCAATGAGATAGAAATCATAATATTTTTAATTTTTTAATTAAATTCTGAATAGTAAATTTTTGATTTAAAATATTTATTTAATATAATATAAATAAATATTTATCTTATTTTTGAATAAAAATTTAAGTTTTAATACTTTAAAAAAGAAGAAATAGAAATTCGATTTAATATTTTAGAAAAAAATATCATTCATTTGAGAATTTTGATTTTGAATTTCGATTCGAGAATAAAATTTTAAAATATTCTTTTGATATAATATAAATATAAATTTATATGATATTTTTAATATAAAATTATTTTTTTAAGTATAATATAAAAACCAATACTCCCTCCTCTGGTCAAACGTCCAATTTGGTTAGTAATATTATATTTCAGTTATGTAGATTAGTAAGTTATTAATAATATATTATAATATTTAAAATATTTTTATCATTATATTTCAATAAAATTAAAAGTAATAATAATAATAATAATATTTTGATAGTAGAATATGACTATTTTTAATAAAATTGAAAAAAAAAAAAAGAAACTTTTGATTGAACAATATATAACTTTTTTAAAAATTAAAAAATTTATAATTTAAAGTTTCAAAAAAATAAAAGAATTATTTAAATTTTTTATTAGATGTTTAAAAAGATGATATGCGGATATAATTTAAAATTTTGAATGAAAATAATAAGCCATATTATAGAAAATACTGAAAAAAAAATAAAAAATAAAAAATACCAAACAAACATAACAAATTCGTACAACAATTAATAATACAAATCGACATTAGCACAACATACTTAAAAAATATTAGTATATAAATCTGTACAATTATTATGTACCAAAATGAACAACACGTGAATAAACTTTTACTCAGCAGAAACGAACTCAATCAATCAAATAATATACTTAAAAACAAAATATGCAAAAACCATTAACAACAACAACAACATCAAAACTTCATCCCATAGTTACCCGTAAGTGCAAGAATTCTTCAAAGACACGGCCGTGTTGAGTTTCTTTGGATCGAACACCACCGAACACTCGATGCTCTTGTGGAATTTCGTCTTCACCAATTTCCCCAACACATAAGCCCGCGATCTCACCGTGAACTCCAATTTCAACGGCACCGGCGACGCAACCATCCCGGTCGACGTGCTCAAACTCGGCCCGCTACCGTACATCGGGATCTTGTCGCTCATCACCGACACCGCTACCGTCCTCTGGCTCTTCCTCGATTGGTGAAATTTCTTCATCTGCCACAACATCGCAAAAAGACTCGATAATTTAGACATAAGTTTATCATTCTCTCCGTCCCAACTCAAAATACCATTTTTATTATTTTTCTCTATCCTACACCAAAATACACTTTTCGTCCCAAAATAATATGGACATTTGAGATGGGCACGGGAATTAAGGAATAATAGTATTATATTGATAATGGGTGTAAAATTATTTCTAAAAGATCAAAATGTAATTATTGTGAAAAGGTGAGGATAGTTTTGTAAAAAAGTGAAAAACTAGTTACCAAATATGAAAATGAGACTATTGTTTTTGAACGGACGAAAATGGCAAAATGAAACTATTGTTTTGGGATGAACGGAGTATCTATTTCCTATTTTAGTAAAAGTAATCATACACTAATATCAAAATACTATTGACTTTTACATAATTACAAAAATACCAATACACATACAATTCTTTTATACATAAGTTAATGGGTAAAAATGTCAAAACTGTTTAGACACTTCTACTGATCAATAAAATACTATTATTTCTGAATCTACTACAAAACCTAGATAACCTATTTGAAGGAATAATAAACTAAGGATCTATTTAGTTATTACATACTCCCTCTTGCACACCAAATCTATATCTTATTTCTTTTCTTGTTTAACCATACAAAATGTGCATTTTCCAATTTATAGCAAACTACTTTTACACACTCTTTAATTTATACCGTCGATATTACAATTATTTACAAATATGTCACAGCTACTTACATATATAATTCATCAAAAAATTCTCCCACCTTATTAACTCGCTTATATAATTTACAAAATGCCCCCACTTATTAACTAACATAATTCTGTATTCATTAAAATCCGTATCCAACTCAAATGAGCATATATTTTATGGACATAGGGAGTAGCACTTTAAAGTTTTGCCCTACGCCTATTCTCCATAACTCCAAAAATCTCAATATAAACAACCTTTATGCTTTTACAAACTTCAGATCTAAAACTCTGATACCATATTAGATGAAGCTTTATGCTTTTAAGAACTCGAGATCTAGGGTGAGTTTGGCAATTAGCTGATAGCTGATTCAATTAGCTGGTTTGACTAGCTGATTCAATTAGCGGTTTGTATTATAGTGTTTGATAAAACAACTGTTTGACATTAGCCTGATATGTTATTTTTTAAAATATTTAAATTTTATTTATTTTGGTTTAAAATTTATAAGAATTTTTGTTATTAATTATTAAAATTATGTAAAATATAAAATAATAAATCTTTCGTATATATATTTTTATTATGTTAATTATTATTTTAATATATATAAATAAATTAATAACCTTTGTTTTTCTGTTTTTTCTATTTGATTTAGTTTTAAATTATATATTTTACAAATAAAATAATTTATATCTAATAATTGATAATAGTAATTATTTTAAATTTACAAAAAAATAAAAATATAATTTAATAAATTAAATATATTAAAAATAATTAATAAATACTGCTATAAAAATATACTTATATGTAAAAAATAAATAATTAAGTTTTAAGGGTAAATAAGGAATAACAAAAATTAAAATAAAAAGCTCTTTCATAACGATCAAACAGCTAAAAGCTACGAAACTTGCACGAGAGACGGTAAGACTCGAACTTAAGACCTAAGGTACTAATACCATGTTAAATGATATAAATGACCGACTCACCAAAAAGCTTAAGCTATTAGGGATAGACATCATTTATTTATTTATCTACAAACGTGAGTACACCAACACTAGCTCAATTTGGGATAGTGGGACTTACATTTCCGGATCCAACGGCGAGCTGCGAATAGGAGAGCGATAGAGGAGTCGATGTAACATGAACACCGAAGAAAGTAGCCGTGTTGCGGAAAGTGAACTTCACCGTGGAATTGACAGAGATCATATCTGTCGACACGCCCGTGTCGTCTGTACCAGCTTGAATCACAAACCTCTCAAAAGTGATGCTCTGCATAATAGCAGATCCAACAAATCATTTAGCTACAAATCAATTCACAATTCACAAAACGTAACCAAATCAACAATTCATTATCAGATCAATCAGATCAGATCAGATCACCACATTGTGCAATAACATAATCAAAAACATGAATAATTCAATTGAACAGAGAATTGAGTTAATTAAGAGCTTGAAAACTCACTCTCATGGTGATCTTAGGTTTCTGAGGCTTGCTCGCTCCCCACAGAATCAACGCGAAGAACGAGAACAGAACGAAGAAACTGACGACGAAAATCAGAAGATAGCATCTACGAGGCAAGCCTTTCCTCGATTCCTCGCCGTCGATTAGTCCTTCCTCCTCAATCACATCGTACGGTTTCCAATTCTTCTGCCCTCGGCTCTTCCCGCCGGCGCCGCCGCCGGCTTCGTTGGGGGAAATCTTCCTGGATCCAGGCTTCAGCGAGCCGGAGAAGCGGCTGGTGGAGGACTCTCTCGAGTGGCGGCCGACGGAGGAGTGAGAGTGCGGCGGAGATCCCATGGGGCTGCCGATAACTGGAGTGGAGTGGAATGAAGTCGCCGTCTTCTCCCCATCGTGTGAGTCTCGCGAAGGACTCTGGACGTAGTAGACCGGCCGGCGAGTGTTGTCCGGCGACGACGGCGCTAGACTGGTGGCATCGGAGTCCGTCTTGGTGTGCATTTTTCCGATCGGATCGGATCGGCCGGAAAATTGAAATTCAATTTAGGGAAGAAACCCTAACGTGGAAAAGTGAAGGTGGGTATTTGAAGAAATTGAAGATACAATTAATTATCAGCTGGAATTTGGAATTTTTTTTAATTAATTATTTGAAGAAAATTGGAAGTGTGTAGTTAGACCGGAAGTGATGAACTTAAACATGCCTTCTCATCTTTTATGGAAATAAAGTTTATAATTTTTTATTATTATTATATATATTTTTTTTTTAATGACTCGTCAAGGAGCAGCTACTCAAAAGTGCGCACTAATTAAATACTGTTGGAACCTAATATCCGACAAATTATGCCCAACGGGAAAATCACATAAGACGAATTATATGTAACAGGTGACTTGAGGCCTTGAGGGTTTAAACGATTTTGTCTATTTGTGAATTAACAATGGAATGTACTTGTATAAGATATAGATAGGTATTCAGTAAGTTATTAATAATATTTTTTCTGTTTATTTAATAATAAAATTATATTTATTTTTTGCCTTATTGTATTTCAAAAAACAAATATAAATTTTTCAAAGTGGATGGAGAAAATATTATTTTATTATTTTTTATATAAATAGTATTATTGATAATTTTTTTATTTTCAACTTTATATCTTAATAAAATATATACAGTAACTATTACTCTTTCGTCCAACTAGAAAGTATACATATTTTTATTTTGGGACGTCCAATTACAAAGTAAGCATTTGATTAAATATCTTACTTTTTTTCACAAATACTCTTACTTTACATCACATCATTACTTTTACACCAAAAAACAAAGGCAAAAATATCATTATACTACTTTTAACTATCCACTATAATTAAAATATTATTATTTTTTAAACATCGCGCCAAAAGTAATTATATATTTTATGAGTGGACGGAGGGAGTATTTCGTATATAATAATAATACAAATAAATTAGAAATTTTTAAAAATAAATAAAAATATTTTTTCATTTGCAGAGAAACATATAAAAATAAAGAAGGTTTAAGTAATAAAATATTAAAAATTTAATTAAACTAATTTATATTTATTAAAATATATTTAAAATTAATAAATTTATAAAAAAAAAATTATGTTTTATGAGACGATAAAAAGAATTATATGTGAGAAGTATTATATGGTGACGGTGGAAATATGAAGAGAGACGCGGTCACAGGTGCGATACAGTTGGCAATACTGCTTTGCAGTTGTCCGAAAATTTTATTTTATTTTATATATTATTATGATTAATTATTGGTGGTTTCTTTTCTTGCAAATTGTACCATCATTTATTTTAATATATGTATAATTAAGACATAAATATCATTCCATTTCCATGTCATTTTTTCTTGTACTTCCAAATAATTTTGTAATTTTCAAAGTGTTTTTTCCTATTTGGAAAAACCCTATAAAAAAAATAATTTATATTTAACATAAAAAAAAATAAAAAATTATTGCTTGAATAAAAAATACATTAAAAATGAAAGTGTAGTCTAATTGCAAACTCTGTAGCTTCTGAACTATAAAAAGCATTTTTTTTTTTTTAGGATCTTAAAGAAAAGTATGGCAAGCAAACAAATCTTTCATTTATCAATGTAACTGTAACGAGATCTAAAGCAAGAAAATGATTTATTTTGGTCACATATTGAGGGATGAATTATTGACGGAAGATCATTTTTTTTTTGGTTAGAAATTTTGTTAAAAGTTGAATATAGACGAAAAATAAAAATAACAGTTGACTCACCGCCGGAGTCGAAAACAACATGACTTACCATCTGAGTCGAAAACGACATGACTTTCCACATTAACCGAAAACGACATGACTCTCCACCGAAACCAAAAACGAATTACTCTCTATCAGAGCCGAAAACAATATGACTCTCCATCGAAGCCGAAAACGACAGAACTCTAAATGGAATCAGAGTCAAACGCAGACAGACTGCACACAAGACAGATTGCATGCAGAAAACAACAACAGACAGACAACGAAGAGATGATAGATATCACATATATTTCAGATCGTACACAGACAACAGACATATGTCAGATAATATACGGATTTGAAAAAAGACAGACTTACAAAGACATAATCTCAAAATTACAAGACTTTTGGATACAATCCAAATTGAATGTACCCGGAGAAATGTGGGTTGATAGATTGTGTCTAAAATATCTCAACATGTATGATGTAAGAATCCTTTAAATTCGATAGAGCAAATCCCATTAGGCAAAACTAACAAAATAATTAATAATAATAAAATTGAAATGGTATCGCATAAATCAAATATCTAAACATTCACATTCAAATTCAAATTGTGTCGCAGAAATCAAAGTTTGACTTTTCCAGCCACAGTCAGTGTTGGGACATTGAACAAAATTAAAATTGAAATCAGATCGGTAAACATAGTTGGAATAAAAAGGAGGATTCTAAACAAAATTAGGACACAATTGATTTTGTTATAAATTTTGGTCTATGATTTTTTGTTATTAAGATCAAAATGAATCCACACACTATATATTAATTCTGTGGCTCAATTGAACCTTGGTCTGACCTTTTCATCAGACCCGCATTCTGCCTAGCCGATCCGTTTTTGACCGTGGCCCGCGCTCCTAATGAGACTTCATTCTGATCGTCCATTTCAGGGTTTAAATTAGGTCAACTCATTTCATATATATATATATATATCATGGGAGAGAGCTGTGGAGATTTGACATGAAACCGTTCCCCGTTTTGACGTCTCGAGCAGCTAAGGGCGTGTTTGTCGTCGTCGGCTTACGATTGTGGTCTGTGATGTTATTTTTGTCCGCTCATGCTCCGTAAGCCTCTGTTCTTTTGTTTGTAGGTTGTTTTGGGTTTGGTGAAGGGTTCTTGAGTGCGGTTCATTTGAATTTGCTGCGTTTTGATATTTGTGTGCTGATTTTAAGATTATTGGGTGATTTGAGGGCTGAGTCTACTTCCACATCTTAATTTAAACTTTTGTTTGTATTTTCGTTGATTTTTCTTTCAATAAATCAAGTTTATTTCGCATTTATTTTATTACAGATTTAATCGTTTACTAAAAATAAAAACAAATATAATTATATAATAATAATAATAATAATAATAAATTTGATAATAACATAAATTTGAAATGCAAAGGAGCATGCATGATCGACCACATGATCGACCACTCATAGAGCACATGAGATTTTATATATATATATATATATATATATTTGTGTGAATGATATCTAATGGTTTAAGGTGGTTCGGTGAAATTTGGGTTTGAATTTGGTTTCTATTTGAATTTTGGGATGAGTTTGAATTTTGTTGTCTATTTTGTGTTTTAAGTTTGGTTAGAGTTTGGGGAGTTTTTGATGTATATTGATTTGATGGATAATGAATAAAATAATATAAATGTGTATTAAATTTAATTGATAAAATTTATATTGTATGATTTGATTATAAATTTATATTATATCCAACATATATATATTTAAATTTTTATTTATTTATATTATAGAAAAATTTATTCTCTACAAAATTACATATATATTGTATATATTTTTTTCCTATAATTATAATAAATATTAAATTATATTTTATTTTATTTTATTATTTAAAATAAAAAAATAAAAAAAAAACCTGCAGGTTGCCGGCTGAAAGGTGGACAAACCCAAATTTAGGATCGAAGAAACACACTCTAAAATATTATAAAATTGATAATGAAACCAAAAGTATTCTTATGTATTTTTGGAAGAATATGTCTTTTTATTTTAGACATGAGGAATCTAATTACTGATATAAAAATAATACTCTCTCCTAGATAATAGTTTAATTAAAATTTAAAATTTAAAATTTAAAATATAGTTAAAGTGTATAATCAAATTTCAAAAAAGAAAAAGACAGATTATATGAGACGGACGAAAATATAAAATATGAACAAAGTGTGATAGAGAAAATATTTTTTTATCAAATTAATTACCTTTTGTGAGTGAATTAGTATATTATATATATATATTTGTATTAATATGTATATATTATATTATTTTTTATAATTTATTCAAAATCGTATCATTCAAAAATAATTACGTGAACAAACCCTATATGTCAACGGGACCTAACTGCTATGATATTTTTCATTTAAAAATTTATCATGGAACCATATAAAAGATTTGTTGATATGTATTTTGAATATGACACTTTGTAGGAAATGATTATACAAAAATATATTTTTCGTCCGCTTCTAAAAATTATATTTACTTTTTACGTAAATCATTGTATTTAACATTAAAAAAAATATTTATATTTGTATATATATATTTTTTACAAATATCATTCTATTAGTATATTATAAGACAGTAATAAAAATATTTTTTTGTCTTTTTTTTATTTGTACTATATTTTGATACCCCATAATAATTAATATTCAAATATTAATCGACACAAAAGTGACGTAACAAAAATAATAAAAGCAAAATATTTTGTGTGGGACATTGATATTCACTCTTTGTGGTTACTTGCTGATTTTTTTAAAATTTTGGTTGACTTGAATTTCGATATTTAACAATTTATCCATTTTTTCATTTTAATCTGTTTCATAATAAAGTATTCATTTTTTTATAATAATTGTACTATCTATCTAATATTACAAATATCATTCCAATTTACAATATATTACACAAATGTACCTTTATATCATACAATACTAATATGGTTAATTTAGACTTTTTACATTTATTTATACTTTATCGTACAAAAAGCAAATGAATATATAGATATGAGACGGAGAGAGTAGTATAAATGTAATGTAATAGTAAAATTTTATATAAAAAATATTACTCCTTCCGTCCCACATAATTTGTCCCTATTTTCTATTTTCGTCCGTCCCACATAATTTGTCTTTTCTTTTTTTAGAAAATTAATTATACACTTTAATCATATTTTAAAATTTAAAATTTAAATTTTTTTTAATCTTAATTAAATTATTTAGTTATCTTAATCTTAATCTATAATTATTTTTACTAAATAATAATTATTTTTATTAATATATTTCTTAATTACTTACTAATTATATTTTACCTAAATTCTCGTGTCTACGATCATACATCTATATT